GCCTAGCTGGGCCATCTTGCAAGGAACATGGTGATTATCAAATACGAGCTACTAAGTAAAGTAGAGTGTGTAATTATATTAAACACACTATTTTTGCTATATCCAGTGCTGCCGAGGAGACCTTGCGCTCAATAAAGTAGTGCTTTAAACGTTATCAAATTGATTGAAAAACAACTGTTACGATTTTAACTCGATTGAATAGAAATTTTTATTGAAGTCACTACAAATAAGAATTAGGTATAGGATTTTCCAACGTTACATTATTTACTTAATACCATATATTATTATTTTCTTGAAGTAATTTGCTCATTAATAGAACTGGCGAACCAGAAAGTTAGTTTCTTGATTCCGGAGTGGGTCAAACTGGAGAAGATTACGCTAGGGTGTTCCTAAAACGAATCCAATCCATAATCTGGAACTCTAAAATAGCCTATTGTATAACTTTTCGCTAAGACAAACAAACAAATCAACTTGAATTGAATGGTTATAGATGTTTCCATAGGTAACTAACAGATGTTTTGCTGGAAAACGTCTAGCGAAAATAGTTCAAGTTTTGTTGGCGTGATGAAGTAATACACTAGTTAACTTGTTGCTGAAAGTCAAGCTAAGAATATATTATTCATGACTCTGGCCTAGTTGTTATTTAAGTACGGCTATTTTCTTCGGATTTTTTGTTTGATCTTTTCGACAAATTGCTTGGTAAGTCCATTTATCATGTTTGTAGGGCTACCATTAGTAGAGTATTATACGTGTCAGAATAATACCATGGTGATTAATTAAGTTGCCTCTATACTTGTCTATTCACTAAAACGGCGTTTATCAACTCCGCGAAATATTTTAAAAAGTTATCACAATTTTTTCACCAAATGAGGGATCGCGTGGTCTATAGTTTACGAACTAACCTAGTTTATAAGAAAAAAATAATCAAAGCTATTAGTAATATAAAGTTAAAGTATTTCTACAGAGAGTTTTAAATCATAGAAGAAAAGGAGAACACTCCCCAAATCCGGGTACATCGAGTGAAGCGAGATTATTGCGACTTCTCTGGGCATGCGTAATTTCGTTGCTATACACAGTTAGTGTCCAAACGCAAACACACGTTTTGCTTCTGGTTTGTTTCCACGTACGTAAGTGTATTTCAGCATCGTAATACTTCGTGTCTTAAAATGTGAAATGAATAATACAGGTAAGATAAAGCCAATATATTAAACATCCAATGAAATCCGGTACTATACAGCACAGTAAGTATTAATATGTATGTTTGAAACGCATATACTATAATAACTGGTTTGAAATTGTAGAATAGAAGTTCAAAGGTTGGTTAGGGTTAATATCATAATGTACTTTATCTCCCGCCATTTCCACAACACGAAGAACGAATAAAGTTTGGTCGTCATATTACTCTGTCGGAGTTAAAGGATATGTCATATTACTCTGTCGGAGATAAAGTATATGTCCTATTATTCTGTAGGAGATAAAGTATATGTCCTATTACTCTGTCGGAGATAAAGGATATGTCCTATTACTCTGTCGGAGATAAAGGATATGTCCTATTACTCTGTCGGAGATAAAGGATATGTCCTATTATTCTGTCGGAGATAAAGGATATGTCCTATTACTCTGTCGGAGATAAAGGATATGTCCTATTACTCTGTCGGAGATAAAGGATATGTCATATTACTCTGTCGGAGATAAAGGATATGTCCTATTATTCTGTCGGAGATAAAGGATATGTCCTATTACTCTGTCGGAGATAAAGGATATGTCCTATTACTCTGTCGGATATAAAGGATATGTCACATTACTCTGTCGGAAATAAAGGATATGTCATATTACTCTGTCGGAGATAAAGGATATGTCATATTACTCTGTCGGAGATAAAGGATATGTCACATTATTCTGTCGGAGATAAAGGATATGTCATATTACTCTGTCGGAGATAAAGGATATGTCACATTACTCTGTCGTGGACAAAGGATATGTCATATTACTCTGTCGGAGATAAAGGATATGTCATATTATTCTGTCGGAGATAAAAGATATGTCATATTACTCTGTTGTGGACAAAGGATATGTCATATTATTCTGTCGGAGATAAAGGATATGTCATATTATTCTGTAAGAGATAAAGGATATGTAATATTACTCTGTCGGAGATAAAGGATATGTCATATTACTCTGTCGGAGATAAAGGATATGTCATATTACTCTGTCG